AAGCCAGGGTGTCTCTGTGGCTTTGGAGCCTGTCCTGGAACTGGCTCTTGTAGACCAGGCTGGTCTCGAACTCACAGAGATCTGCCGGCCTCTGCCTCCCGAGTGCTGGGATTAAAGGAGTGCGCCACCAACGCCCAGCTAGCTATTGCTCTTACTGCTGTGGCAAAATACTGGACAAAAACAGCTTTCGGAAGGGAGGGCTTCCTTTGGGTCACAGCTGGAGGCTAAATGGATAAGGCAAGAGGATGAGGCTGCTGGCAGCGGTCATACTCAGGAAGCAGAGGCTTGGATGCTGAGACTCACCTCTTCTTACTCCTTCTAGGATCCATGGAGAGGTGCTGCCCACATTTAGGGTGTGTCTTCCCACCTCAGCTAGCCTGATCTAGGAATTCAGACACTCAAAGGTCTGTCTCCATGGAGACTATAAGTCCCATCAAGTTGATACTCATGATTAACAGTCTCAGCGCCTTTATTTGAAGTACATTTATGAGTCACTTCAGTTTTCTTCCAAGCCAGAAGTGATAGTCTTGGTTCACAACATTTAATAGAATATTTCAAAACAGCTAATAGAGAAATGTTCCCAGCATAAAGAGGTGCTAAGTGTCTGAAACAATGCATATACCAATGATCCTGATTTAATGTTGTACATGTATATTGGCATGCCACACAGCACCCCAAAACACATACAATTACTGTGTTAATAAAAATAGATTTAGGACCATCGAGATGGCTCAGTGGATATTTCCTGCCTCTACCTCTCAAGCGTTGGGCTTGTGGAAGTATCCCACCATGCATGGCTTACATATGGTGCTGGGGTGGAACCCAGGGCTTTCATGCATGCTAGCTAAGTGCTCTACCAGCTATGCTACATCTCCAACCCCTTCAGATTGAAAAACAAAAACAAGTCGGGAGGTGGTGGTGCATGCCTTTGATCCCAGCAGTTCTGAGGCAGAGACACTTGGAGCTTTGTGAGTTCAAGGCCAGTCTGGTCTACAGAGCTAGTTCCAGGACAGCCAGACCTACACAGGGAAATCCTGTCTCGAAAACAAAAAATCACGTTAGTTTGAGTGATTTGCGGGTTCTCTGCTTTCTTTCCCTTCTAGTCTGACTTAAAGCTTAGTATTTCACCCCAGGGAGAGGGACACGGGGTGGGTGTCAGCATCTTCTGGGTTCTGAAACAGTTGGGACGTTTGCTTTGTTTTGGTTTGGTTTTTTGAGACAGGGTTTCTCTGTGTAGTCCTGGCTGTTCTGGAACTCGTTGTGTAGACCAGGCTGGTTTCAAACTTACAGAGATCCAACTGCCTCTGCCTCCCAAGTGCTTAGCTCAGAGGGGTGCACAGCCATGCCCTGCTTTGGTGGAGACCTCTTGGAAGTTCAGATGGCCTGCTAGTTTTAGAACGTCTCACTGAACTGCCTGCTGTCCTGCCATCCCCAGGGAGATGAGCTCTTTAGGGAAAGAGCCTTTCATAGAATAGGCAGCTGCCCCACTCAGAGGGAAGGTAGGCACAGCAAATGAGTGCTTTCAGAGGCTCCCTGGAGAGTGTGACCTGTCACATGGGAAAGGACACTGAGAGGAAGATGAGATGGTAGGGGAGGAAACAATTCCTCAGGAGACAGTCAGGTGTGGCTGAGATGGAGGGAAGAGGAAGCTCTATGTGGGCTGACTACATGTGATCTTTGAAGTGACAGGGGAGCAAGGGTGGGGCTGGGAAACCAGGAGGAGCTCTAAAAGGATGGGAACTCCTGTTGTCCCACAGTCTACCAGGGTGGGCCTGGTCAATACCACTAGGAATTACCCAACCCTACTGTGGGAGGAAACTGGAAAATATAAATGGACAACATGATTGCTCCATGGTATGTTTGAGGGGATGTTTTTTATTGCAGATATGAGGGAGAGAACAGCTAGAGGCATCTGAGCAGCCCAGAGCAGAGAGAGAAAGTAGTAGATTGAATATGGCCAGCAGAGAGAGGCAGAGGAGGGAGATGGAAGAAAGAGACAGAGACAGAGCGACAGAGAGAGGGAGAACAAAAGGAAGACCAAGAGAGTGTGGGCAAAAGGGAGACCAAAAGAGAGGGGGGGAGGGGAGAGGAGAAGTGGGGTGGGGGAGGAAGTTAGGGGTGGCCAGGAGGGGTGGGGGTGTAAAAAGAACTGAGGGGAGCCAGGATGCCCACATGGACTCTGCAATATGTCACAGGCACTTGTGGCACTGAGGGAGCTTGGAGCCAGCATGTGCTTTGGTAACTAACAGGTGCCACAGATAAGCCGTTTGTCCCTTCTGCCGGTGATAAGGGAACTGTCTCCTTTGGTAGAGGGGAACCTGGCTACACGAGTTCCTGAGGAACGCCTTTGTAAACTATACACCAACATTTGGGGAAATGGACTTTCCTTTGGACCGGAGAGGAAGACAATTCCAATTGCTTTGTGGAACACTGGTTTAATCTGAGGGCAGTCTGGTAGCTTTATCTAGGAGGCTGGGGTCATGAGAGGAAGGTTCTAGGATGGCATCATTACTGGCTCTGTAAGAAGAGGAAGAGAGTAGCAGGAAGAAGCTTGCCACTAAGTGATGACCTGAGTTTGTCCCAAGGAACTCACTTTAAAAAGCCCGATAGGGTGGTGCACGTCTGCAAGCCAAGTGCTCCTCGGTGGTGAGATGGGAGGTGGTGGAGACAACAGAAACAGGCTTACAGTTTGCCAGCCTGGAGTATCCTGTGCAGCAGCAGGAGAGACCTCCAGCCTCACACCAGAAGGGACCCCCCTTGTGTGGCTTGCTGGTGGCTGGCTCTTGCCCTGCAGTGCCATCTTTGGAAGGGCTCCAGTTCGAAGGAGGGGAGAACAGAGGTGACTCAGGGCCTTGTAGTCTCTGGCTTTGCCAGCCCAAGCCCAGGCTTTGCTGGCAGCTTGTTCAGTGGTGCCCCTCATCCCACAATGCTCAACCCATCTAATAGTTCCTTTCTCATAGACATGGGGTGGGGACTTGTTCAGCATCCTGGGACTGTGCCTCGCCCCCTAGTAACTGTAGGTGCTTCTCAGAGACACAGTGGATTGATCCCCTTCTTTGGTGTTGAGGAAGTGGCAAACCATGTCCTGTTTATTAGAGTAATTTTATTAGAATAATGTCCATGGCAGCAGGGTGGGGTGCGGTGGGGTAGCAATGGATATTCCAGCAAAAAGACTCTGGCTAGAAGACAGGTGTGAGTTGACAAGATGTTGGGGGGCACTAAGCTGGCTGCAAGGCTGCCTTCCCCACGGAAAACTGGGGAAGAGTCCACCTAATTTTTAGTCAACACACTCAGGGCATGAGAGTGCTAAGGGGTGGGTGTGGAGGGGTTGGTGGTTAGAGCTTCCATGAGCCCAGAGCTGGGCACGGAATAAACTCTGCGCCTAGGGCACTGGAGAGCAAGTAGCACCAACCGTCCTGGCGGAGCCCAGCCAGCAGAAGGAGGGGGCCAGGCTTCGCATCTCCCTACCCCCACATGGTTATCTGCAGCCACTGCAAAGAGAGCAGAGAACAGAAGACAGTCTGCAGAGGATGGAGCATGGACGAGACTAGAGGGGAGGGGACCATTTGTGACCCAGACCAACCTCCTTGCTCCTTCCCGAATACCTGCTCTATATTCAAGCAAATAGTACCAGTTTTCTTGGGGTCCATGGATAGGAAGAACCCTGTTTTAAGGAGAAGGTGGTTAGCGCTGAGATGATGGTCAAAAGGGCCCACTCCCCAAAAAGGGAGAAACTCAGGAAGGTAGGAAGTCATTCCTTGCCCATCACAACTGGTTAGGAGTCAGATAGGGTTACAAGCGCTTGCCCCAGACTCATTTGCTCTATACAAGAGTGCCAGAGGATGGGGTCAGTACTGACTTCTTGTTAATGGTTTTACATTGATTGATTGACTGACTGACTGACTGATTGATTGATTGGGTAAGGGAGGGGTATGCAAGTGTACACAGGTCACAGCTTGCACCTGTGGAGGTCAGAGGACAATTTGTGGTCCTTGGTTTGTTGCTTCCTCTATGTGAGCCCTGGGAATTGAACTCATGTCTTCAGGCTTGGTAGCAAGCACTTTTACATGCCGAGCCATCTTGCTCTCCCTGTTGTTTGTTTTAACTCAAAAAGTCTCACAAAGTCTCAGGGTTGCCTCAAACTTGTGATCCTCCTGTCTCAGGTCTCAGCTTCTCAAATTTCAAGTAGTATAAATATGGGCTACCAGATCCATCCTTGGGACAATAGTTTTATTTTTATTTATTTATTTATTTTTTGAGACAGGGTCTTTTAGCTGACCTAGGCTGACCTCAAACCCACTCTGTAACTGAAGATGACCTTGAACTCCTGATTTTTCTGCTGCCATCTCCGGAATGTTTGGATTAAAGGTGTGCATCACCACACCAGGGCTTGGTGCGTGCTGAGCAAACACTCTACCAACTGAATTACATCCTCAGCCCTTGGGGCAGAACTGTTACCATTTGTACTATATTTTCTAGAGAAAGGGATAGGGGTACAGACAATAGGTACAGCCCCCAGCAAGTTGTAGATTTGAACATGGGTCAGGTGTGTTTTCTGTGTGGGAGTGGCTCTGCAGAAAGGACTCAGGGTGAGCAGGTAGATATGAGAGCATGCCAGCCTTTCTGGTCTAATCTGGAGGTGGGGGACAGGTGCCTCACTCACCATACATGGCCTTTAGCCTTAGGAAACAGTTGATGAAGCTGTCAAAGTCCACGATCATGTTATCATCTGCATACCTAGCTACCACCACTTCAGTTACCTTATTGCTCATCTTAATGCCTAGGAGACAGATGGGGCGGAGAGTAGCATTCAGGCCTTTAGAACTGACTTCCCAGCTCCCTGCCTCTGGACAGCCTCCTGATCCCTGGCCACCTGCTTTCTCTATTGCCAAGCGCATCTCGTAGGAGTTCAAGGTCCCAGAGTGGTCCTCATCACACACTTTGAAGATGTCCTGAAGACAGACAGATGTCGTCAGGCCATGTATGTAGTGTAGTGGTTGACATAACAGAATACTGCAGTATGACTGACTTACAATAGCTGCCCAAGACCCTGGAGCCCCACCACTCTGACCAACCACTTGAATCTCTAATGTTCCAGTTTTCTGGTACTTGAAGGGTTAATTTCAAGCATAGCAGGGAAATGTTGGTACCCTGCCCAGTGCTTTCTGCAGGCATCCTTCATGACTATACCATGCTATACGGTTACTAACCAGTGTGTGTGTGTGTGTGTGTGAGTGTGTGTGTGTGTGTGTGTGTGTGTCTGTGTGTGTCTGTGTGTGTCTGTGTGTCTGTGTGTTGTGTGTGTCTGCTAGTTTCCACCCTTCTTGGCTGTCTTTTTAGGGCTTTTTACCGTCCATTTCTTGATCTTTTTCCACAGGATCTGGAACTCCAGAAAACCCAGCTTGCCAGTACCATCTTTCTAGGGGATTAGTCAAGGATAAGAGTGAAGAGGCATCCTAGGGATGAGGGAACAGAAGGCCCTGGCACAGGCTTAGGGTTCCTGAATGCTAACAGCCAGAATTGGGATCGTTAGCTACCCCCAAAGCTAATTCCTATCGCAAAGGAGGGTACTGAGGCTGGCTAGAGAGATGGCCACTTCTGAGTCAGCCTTGGAGGGCAGGGAAGTGCTAGTTAGAATTGCCACAGGGCAGAAAGATACATCCATGAGGTTGACCATACGGCGACAGACATCCAAGCTAAAGCCCTTAGTCTTGAAGTTCTTGACTGTGAGGGAGGCAAGGTGTAGGGAGAAGAGAAGGATGAATTCTGTGTGGGACAACATGGGCTGGCCTTTACAGAGATGAGCTGTGAGGGTGGGGGGGCCGCTCACATTTACTCGACATCTTGTTGAGGAGCTTCTGCAGCTCATACATATCGATTTCCTTGTCCTAGGAGGAGAGACTGTAATCATCTGCTCTGATCCTTTGGCCCAGCAGCCACCTCCCTTCAGTGCCTGCCCCTGGCCTTCTTACCTCATCTGCCACCATCTCAAACAAGTGGATGGAATTCTGGTCCAACTCCTTCTCAGAGATGGTCTCCTGGAGAAAAGAAGCCAGGAGGGAGGGAGCCAGTCTTAAAAACATCCATCACACCTCCAGCCCCCAAGTTTTCTATTACCTCTTCGAAATGCTCGATCCAGTTGACTTCATCCAGCATCCTGGGCATAAGAGAGTGAAGGTTTAGGGGTAACTAGGGGCCAGAGAGATGAGGTTCTCCATGGGGTGTTCTTGGAAAGGTCCTGTCATTGTCTACGAGGCAGTGTCAAATAATGCATCAAATCTCGGCTCTAGTTTTACTGTTTCTATTACCAGTTTAGACCTCATGCCTCAGTTTCCATGAGCATAAATTAGGATTGACATGGAGGAGGGCCAGAATCCGACATCCTGTAGCTCTTGGGCAGGGAACCTTGCTGCAGTGAGGTTGGCCCCTTACCAGGTCTCATTGTGTTTCTCTGTGAAGATCCGAAGCAGGAAGTCAGCATCTTTATGGGGTTCAAAGGTGGAGGGAACAATGATGTAGTCCCCCGGAGGCAGCTGAAGATGGCTGCTCACTTCCCGTGTGTTGGTGAAGACCTCTGAAAAGCCATGGTCCTTATATTTCACAAAGAACTCTTTCTTCAGATGGATGTCCTGGAGGTTCTGAAACTGTATGTACCCTGGAGGTGGGTACAGGACTAGCACAGGAGAGCCAGGAGAGTGGATCTCCCAAGGTGAGCCATCTTTTGGGCAGGATTGGTGGTGGGTACCAGTACCACTGCTGTGGCCTGGACTTCTCCCATGTGGTCAAGAACCCCAGTATGGTCTCACCCTTCCCTGACTCCCACCATTGAGTCTTAGTGGTTGGACTCCTAACTCAGGGTTCCCTAGACCTTTCCTCCAGATCTCTCCCCTTGCCAACCCACATGCAGCCACGGGTGGGCTGGACCAGGAGTCAGACTTTTGTACCTCCTTTGGAACCTGAAAAGAAAAGAGAGAAGAGGGTCAGATCTTCAGGGCAGTGAAAGGGCTCTGGCCTTCAACTAGGTGAGTGTGCACTTTGAGTGTGAGCATGAGTGAGATCCTGGGTTGGGGTTTTTTAGGGCACTGGCACAAAGGGGTGGGTAGGGTGTAGGCTGTTGGCATTAAGAATTTGTTCGTTTTCAATTTCAAAGTCCAGTTTGAACAAGTTTACAAAGGCAGATTCTTGTCACTTGGGATTAAGGACAGGAGACTGAGTTCTAGAGAGACAGAGATGTCTTGCTAAAAGGGAAAGAGAGCTGGGATGTGAGCCCAAGAGTGTGTTCCCAGTATGCTACTCCACAAGTGTCACCTGCAGGACTAGAAAGGTGGCTATCTAAACAGAGGATAGAGAGCAAACACATTTGCATCTTTGACTTTCCCCTTCCCTTATGGCTCAGGCTTTGAATTTGCTGTGTGGTTGAGGATGATCTTGAACTTTTGATCCTCCTGCTTCCACCTCCCAACTACTGGGATAACAGACATGTGCCGCCATGCCCAGTTTTATGCATTGCTGGGCATAGAACCCAGGGCTTCTTGTTTTGTTTTGATTTTTGGACACAGGGTATCGTGTAGGCCAGGCTGGTCTCTAACTATGTAGCTGAAGCTGGCCTTGAACTTCTGATCCTTCTGACTTCGGCAGGCACCTTCATTTGTGTGCACATTTCCACACAGAGACATACACATAGCTAAAAGTTAAAAATCTTACATATGTGGTGGTGCATACCTTTGATCCCCTCAAATGAGAGGTAGAGGCAGGCATATTCTCTGTGAGTTTGAGGCCATCCAGGTCTACATAGACAGTTCCAGGCCATCTAGGGCTACATAAAGAGACTCTGTCTCAAAAAAAAATTAAATAAAAAATAGTATTTTCAAATAAGTTTGCACAAGATGAGTTAAATCAGATCAAATAAAATAGGTGATTGCCAAGGTTTGGGTGTCTGTCACTCTAAAGCTTACATAGACACTTAATACCAAGGTCCGTATTTTGTGAGTATGTGCTTGCTGTGACATGCATGTGGGGGTCAGAGGACAGCCTCAGGGAACAGGCTTTCTCCTTCCACCGTGTGGCGCTGGGGTAGTAAGGACAAATGCCTCCGCTCACCCAACTTTCCTGCTGGCCCCAAATCTTGGCCTTCACATCTTGGGAAGAGTGTATTAACCGCATAGAAAAAGCAGCCCTTGCCCCACTGCCTTTTTAGTTTCCCCTTAGCATGGAGTCTAGGCTGTCACACATGCCAGGCAAGCACTAATTCTGTTCACTACAGAGTGCCCGGAGACTAGCCAGGGACTTGGCATACAGTAGGATATTGTACAGTGTTCCATACTTGCTGAATATATAAATGAACGACTAAATGGGCATTTCTGGGATCTTGCAAACCATGACTGGTCTTGAGAACTAGCTCTGGCCTCAGATTCACACTGCTTCCCCAGTGCCTCTGCTTCCCCAGTGCTGGGATTAAAGGCGTGTGCCACCACCACCTGGCTAGATTTTTTATTTTGTAATCTACCACACCCACTACCATTTCTTTTAAGACAGTCATCACCCCAAAGACCAAATCCATAACACTTATTTCTGCCCTTAAGGAACAGGAAGGAGATTGAAGGCAGGAGAGATGCGGTGACTATACAAGTTCACACACTGAAGGGGCAGAGGCAGAGACTCTGTCCTGATTCCTGAGCAATAGAGATTTTAGCAACACCCCCACCCAAATGTGGCCCCAGCCACTCCGTCAAAACTGCTCACTGCAGAAGCCAGAGCTAGTTAGAACTAGCCAAGGCTACACAGGGAAACAAATAAATCTGTGAAAAGGGAACAGAGTTGAGGGCCAGACCGACGAGATGGCTCAGTGGTTAGCACTTGTTGCTCTTGTAGAGGGCCTGGGTTTGATTCCCAGCACCCACGTGATGACTCACAACTGCCTGTAACATTTGTTCCAGTGGATCTGAGACCGTTTTCTGATCTCTGCAGGTATCAGGCATACATGTGGCAAACAAACTTACGTGCAGGCAAAACACACAGAGGGAGGGAGGGAGGGAGAGAGAGAGAGAGAGAGAGAGAGAGAGCTCACACAGAGGCTCGGGAAAAGCACAGAGAACACCACTTCAGTGGCAGGCTGTGGGGCCTTTGGGGCTGACTCTCTCAGGGGTCCTAGGGAAGAAGGGTTTTAAGAGGTGAGGCGGTGCTGGGGAGGCAGGGGCAGGTGGAGCTCTGAGTTTGAGGCCAGGAGAAGCACAGGTGGTGGTGTGTGTGGGGGTGCAGGGGCACACCGAGAAGATGACGAAGCCTATGGTGAGCAGCTGGCTCCCCTGGGACCGGGCATGCCTCCAGTTCTTCTGCATCAGGGCCACCAGGCAGGTACAGACCACCTCGCTTTGCTCAGACCCGTTCTCCGGGTCGTCGCCCTCCGGGAGAGAGATCTTAAACTGAGGGTTGCTCCAGAATGTGTCTGTGGAAGATGAGGTGATTACGCTGGGGCAGGGCCTTCCGTCCTTGACTGTGCCCTTTCCAGGTGCCCTGAGAGGCCAGCCACATGTCTGCCTCGCGTCCTGAAAGCCGTGGCATCCGACTGACTCTGCCCTCGTCCACCCTGCCTCTGGCCTGGAGCCCTCACCCACCGTGGTTGTTCCTGCAGCCTCCGGCCGTGCTCCCCCTTCTCCAGCTGCCCTCGTAGAAGGTTGTGTGCCAGCTGCTTCTGTGTTCCCGGGGTGACAGTGCATCTGGAGTCAGGTTGCAGATCTCCAGGAGTGTGAAGTTGCTCATGAAGTCGTCATAGGACATCCTGGGATGGGGGCGCACACAGGCCTGTCAGCACACTCCGCCTGCATGCCGCAGGCCCGACTGTGGAGAAGATGGGGGATGCGGGGTGTATATGGGGAGTCCGATGCTCCCCAGGCCACACTGACCAGAACTCCCCATCTTCCTTCTTCCGAAGCAGGTGTGTCTGGACATCCGCACTCACGTCATCCCACTCCTTGGCTCTGCAGGGAGAAAACAGCGGGAGGGAAGGACAGCCAGCCTTCCTCCCTAAGGGACTTTCTGGAGGCCACCTCCAGAGTTCTTGT